TGCCCCTTCTAAAACTGCGTCATGCTCACTTTTCGCCACACCTTGGCATTTTCTGTGGACCAAGTGGCCGTTGTGCCTTTTTCAACTTCAAGCAGAAGAGAGGAACAACACGCCGCTTTTTCAACATTCAACATATATCCCCCATAAATCGCGATACTGCAAATCTTCGCGGAGATATATTGTGAGCAAATCTTGGGTCAAAATGCCAAGATATAATTGCAAGATAATGTTTCCATAAAGAAGGGTCTGATGCCAGCCGTGGTTGGAACTCTCGTTGTTGGTATCTACTAGGGATTTTGCCCTCTTCCCGGCATGGTTCTTCGATCTCGGCTCTTCCACAGTCCCCCGCCCACAGGTGAGTAGTCGGGTGATCTCACGCTTGCCTTGGCGGCGGTTGGATCTGGGAAAGGCTACTTTTTTCACTGATTGGTCCAGGAAGTTACGAGTACTTTTCATGTTTGTGCCCCTGTTTGCGTCCCAATACATGTGTCTGCCGTGAGTCATGCCAGCCATTCCTGAAACTTTCAATCGATCCAAGACGATCCGAGAAACCGCCTGTTCGTTTGTCCCAAACATTTTGTGTTTGTCTGCTGTGGACAAATATCACCCACCCACACACCACAGTACGCAGTGAACGAGAGAGCGGAGAATGAGAGGCAGGAAAGGAGGGAGAAAGATAATCTACAATGCTCTGCCCGGCTGCACACACCGTTCAATGGCGAGCATGCACAATTTTCTCTTGGCTACTACCACGTGCAAAGCAACCGAAAGAGACTACCCTACTTCACCTTTTGAACGGCAACACGCCAGAAGTCACGAGTGCGCCGGTGGTGGAGTGAAGCAGAACGTCCTTCGCCTTTATGCCATTCCGATCAGGGCCCTGAGGCTGATGCTGCCGCATGCGTGCTCGTTCGCCATACCGCCGTCTTTCGCTGTACGTGCATTGATCGCCTGATCGCACACAGCGCCTAGAAGATGTTGGTACAAGAGGGGAACAGTCAGCGAAGCAGTCAATAACGGCACAGCAACGTCTAGCTAAACGTGTTGGTGTGACAATATGTAACGCTACTGGACAGTTTGTGGAGGGGAAGGCAACCCATTTGCCCCAAGCCTCCCAGCGCCAGAAGGTAGTGTTTCCCCGAGCTGTGGGCACAGGAGACATTGCAAGGTGGTTGGTTATAAAGAGAATATACGTAATGTCTACAAGTACGCAACTCAAATACTTCATCCGTGTTGAAACCAACGAGAATACGCTAATGAGCCGCGACAGTTTCTTGTTTTACCCAGGACGTAGAAAACAGGGTTGATCGACCTGTTACAACGCGATGCAGGCCTTGGTTTGAATACCATCGTTATTCCGGGGGCCCTCTTAACCCTCCATTTAGACCCAAACAAGACCTGCGGAGCACCGAGTGATGATCTGATGGCTTCTGATGAAGAAGAAAGTAGGGCACGCCTCGTTACACCGGATTGGTGGTGCTCCGTCAAGATGTGGCCGTGCTATACAGGCATTTGTCCCGAACATGGGAGATACCTCACCCTAACCCCGGAAGTTGTCGAGGTAAATTAGCACCACAAATTGGAGACCCCGCGTGCGAATTTCGCAGCCAGCTACAGTAGCTACATAGCCAGAAGCCAGAAGAAACCGAGGTGACACACTCAGCTAAGTCCCGCACACCCACAGAAACACACCCACCCGCCGTGGTCCAATCCCTTCCACATGTGGAAGCAAATCAGTAACAGCAAACCTGTGCCTGCTCTCTGGCTTCACAACAAGAAATCTTTGTTGGCGATGCGTTCTTCTTGCCGTTGGAAAAGCTCACGACCGACGGGTGTAAAACAAAAAATGGAAGTCACTGCAACAGCAGCAGCAACAGAGAGCGAAGTCGATGCGTCGGTGTGCTGTTGCGCATTCGTCACACGAGATTCAGGTACGATGTAGGGATGATGTCGTGCATTGGACCGTAAATGGGGTGCCTGGGGGGGGCGAGCAAAGCAGACATAAGACGCCGCCTCCAGCAATCGAAATATGAGAAATGAGGGTGAGATGGTGAGATGGTCCATCCACGTGAGAGCACGGTTAGAACGGTCAGGGCTGGCTCTGTTTGAATGCTTGAAATGTGTTCCGACCACCACACCGCGGTGCCCGATGGTCTCTATCTGCATGTATTTAGTATATCCGTACCTGCCGTCATTGTTCATGGAGCCAGCGGCAGTGCTGTTACGTGCAGATTGTTTGGCATGCCGAAACAGGGTCAGTGTGATGGTGTGTGGGTTGATGTGTTCCTGTGCGTGTAGCATTCCAGCGGGTGGGGCGGATTCACCCGTCTTGATCTGCGGACACGACTGTAGCATTTACGTATGCATATGCATATGCACATGAATTGTCGCGTGGTGTGACTGCTGCCTGGAAGCAGCATGTCTCGCACAGTATCGCAGATAGACTATGTAGACTACACAGTATTGCTGCAGCTGCAACTCCACGCCCAATTACGCCGCCATACGAGTCACAAAACTCCCCTCTCCAACCGCGGGAACCACGCCAACCCGTGCTTCGAACGAACAGCCGTTGCGTCCTCTTGAATGGACACAAGACGTGTACCACTGTGTATAGTCACTGTGAGTAAGCAGCCTACACAGCAGTAGTGCATTCGGCACTCACCCACAAGGTCGTTTACCATCACAGCTCTTCTTTTTTCGTGCGCATTCTGAGCAGCTCCTACACATTCTGCGCAGGATTGGACGCAAGCGATTCCCTTCTTCGTGACCAACGTGGTTGTCCTCATGGCTCCATGATGGCGATGTTGTAGTTGAGACATCCATGCTTCCCCGGTAGCTGCGATCGGTGTTTCTCGAGGGGGACGAACCTGCTGATCACGCTACCGACTGACTCTAAGAACGGGACACCCGCCAGCGGCGAATTAGCGGGACGAGTTTTCTGTAGCCTCCTATTGGCTAAAACCAACAGTATTGCACCATGTAGGAAAATGACGGCGGTGAGACTGTACACTTGCACACTTGCCCTTTATCCAGCGCGTGTCTACCAAATGTCTACTGCGCTGCTTCTCTGACGGTAGATATCTCCCGCACGCTGCTTTTCATGTGGAGATCTCCGTACGAAA